GGACCCTACGCGATGCATTTGTGCTTAAATTTTCATGTGTTACCTCCTACTATCCGTAAGAGGAGGCAAACAAACACTCTGATCATAAGTAGTTCAGGACAACTCTACTCAGATAAAATTCTCTCTGCATCATGTTGCAGCAAATCTGGACGCTGTCCAGCCAGAGAATTTGACAAAAAAATGAAAAAAGAAAACATAGCTATGGTCCCCAAATAGCAATCTCTTTATCGCCACACGTATTCCATCAACCGAACTAATTTCTAGTCACTATAATAATGAAAGTTTTAGCTTCACAGTGTAAATTAAAGAAAATGTATGCAAGTAAATAGTAAAAAACAAATTTAACAGCATCATAACAGGGGAAAATGAGGCACTAAACAGAATAATACAGCTAACAAGGCACATACTCTAAAGTCTAATATGCTCCTCGAGAATACTAGAGATTCTAGCACCATGGGTCACCTTTGCTCTCATAGTACATTACACTCTAAAGAGATCCACAAAGCTATATAGCACTATCATTTTCTGGTGCAAATTTAGCACAACATTGGCATATGACATCTTCCAAATACCATGCGACAACTAGTCAACAAATTTCTACAAGTAGGTTCAGCACGTAACTTAAAGATCAGATTTTGCAAGGAGATCATGACTGAAGCATCTTCTCATTGGATCTAGTGGCGAAACAAACTAGGTATCAACCACATACAGGATACGCAATATGCAATAAGGATCCAAATACAAACAAGCAACTACGATAATTTTCTCGCTTCATGAAGCCAAGAGATGGAGGCATACCCTAATAAGCCGATACTTGGGCTCATACTTCTTGGCGTTCTCTACGGTATCGTAGATCAAGCCGAAGCCTGTCGACTTCCCCCCACCAAAGTGCGTCCGGAACTTGAACACGAAGATAGTATCGGGATCCCTCACTTCATACAGCTTCGCCAACTTCTCCTTCAACTCCGCCTGCGCCGACCACAGAACAAACAGACTCAAGTCCGGCAATACGATAACCCGCGAAGGAACCCAAATCGATACCCAACCCTACAAAAAGCGAGGCCACGTAAAAACCACATACCTTGGAAACATTTGCTCTCCCGGGATGAAGAACATCGATTACCTGTAATCAACCAAAAAGAATCAAGAAAGCATCACAAAATAGGATTCTTGCGCAGACATTGGAAGAAAATGGAGCGAAGAGGTTGAGGAACCGACGAATTGCTTCCGGGAGAGGAGCCGATTGGTCATAAACTTCCTGGTTCGGATGGTCACAGCCTTGGACTCTGCCATTTTCTCCTCCTAACACACCGAGCGGCGAAGGAGGGGAAGAAGACGACGAAGCCGAGTTAACAATGCCCTAACCCTAATCATCATCATCATCATCATCTTGCCGCCCATATATGCACGCCTTTTGGCGCAGAAGCATCTTAATGGGCTCAGCTAACAATAGTGGCCCATATCACCCTAGTGGCCCATATCACCCTAAATCTATTTGGTAATCTGAACTTTGGAATCTAAAACAATCAAAATTCAATCAGAAAAAGTTTCTAAGAAATAATGAAAAATATTATGATAAAAATATCAATATAACAACCATTAGAGTGTGTTAGAACATCAAACAATAATCTTTTAAATAAATAAGAGAAAGTTTAAGAAAAACCTAAAATCGCTTCGAATGCTATACCGACACAAATCTCGCTCTCGTGTAGGATAGTATCGAGAAGAAAATATGTGATGAAAGAATGATCTTCGAGAAGAATGATAATACTGTTTTATAGGGAAGTCTGAGGTAAGTGAGCATCTCATGTCTTTAGTGACTCGATCGATAAAACATAAAATAACATGAGAGGAAAAGAAGAAAAAAAATATCAATTTTTCGTTACTCGATCCGAACAGAGTAGACATAAATCAACAATTATTTCTTTGAATTTCTAAATTCTAATGTATTGTTTTCTTTAGGTGAGAAGGCAATGTTGTAAGACTAATTAAGTCCACTCAAGTAGTTAAAGCACAAGACACTATCAAGAATTTCAAAATGAGCAAAAACAATCCAAATGTTAAACACAAGAACAAGATAAAAAAAAAATTATCATAAAGAATTAATTAATACATGTAAGAGAATATCATGAGGGAGATTTAAATTCTGTCTGCCCATACAATGCAGGATGTCTTATCAAAGACATTATTAATACAAGATTGCTGTTCATAACAAAAGAGGTGGAAAAGAGAAAGAAGAACATTTAAAAGCAGGAAGGAGACCTCATGATAAATACACTGGCAATATTGCCAACTTGTTTCCAGACCACATCTTTACTGTGGTCACTCTCTGATCCGACTATTCCACCACCTATACCGACACATAAAAGCAATGACAACTATGCAAAACCACTTGTAGTCAGGCATTTAAATGATTCAGTTGCATTGTCTGCATGTCTCTCACAATCTCCAGCAATCTCAGGCATTTAAATGATTAAATTTATGAACCTCGATAAGGAAAAATAGATAAGCATTATGGTATAGAGATCAAACCAACTTAAACTGAGATGTTATTTCTGTGCATAAACCACACACACACACACACAAGTTCATTGTTGTTATTATTCTCTGGCAAATGCAAAGCACACCTTTGAAACTAGAACAAGATAATGTCACATGTAAAGATGTTTTTACAACGTAATTATGTAATCGATTATGCATGTAATGCTCTAAGTTCATTCTAACATCACCTAAAGAACTGGTTTGAGAGAATTTGTATATAAATTATTGTAATTTCAGGAGATCAGCAAGGGGTGTAAACTTAGAAACATGTTTATGAAGAAAGTAAACAACTAGGAAATGTTGCTTAACAAGATTATAGCAGTTCAATCATCATTCTCTCTCTCTATATATATATATTTATATATGCTGCTCATTTGCTGCTTCAGGTGGCAGTGCTCTTAAAACTGTTCTTGGCATTCATGCAACAAAGGTTGTAGCAAAGCAAGTCTAACAGGATATGCCAACATTACTATATTCATCAGGAGTCACCATCAATCCATAAATAGATTGGTTGGGAGTTCTGAAAGTTAGGTCTGCTCGATAAAGATGTATCTCCTCATGTATGAGTTTACAAGGCCTATCATATGTATTCAGACATCTATATCAGTTATGTTCAGGCTATTCTAAGATATGAATACCAGATAGGCACTTCCAATTAGAAATCCAAAGAGCTATGTATATCACTTGTGCCCATGGATGTTAGATGCATGCTTAGCCAGTAGAGTTCGTAACAGTGGCCTCTATCAGTGCTGCTGTTGGGAACAATGTCCTTTTTATGAGTGGGACAAGAGGTTTTAGTGCCTGAGGAATTAAAAAAGACTGCATATCTAAAGCTTCTTCTTTGTTGATGCCTAATGAGTTATTGCTTGTTTCTTTGTGTTTGGTTCTTCTTTGTCAATCTCTATCATCTTATAGTGAGAACAGGTATGTTAAGTAAGACCTCGAGTGTTTTAAGCTTTAGAATGACAAGTAGGGTTCACACACTTATGGAAGACTGTCAGTGGGCCACAAGAGTAAATCTATGGTGACCTAAAGAATTGACTCCTAAATCAAATAAACATTTTTCTTTATCTAAAATGCTGCAAGTGCATCAGTTAGTATGGACAGCAATCATGTCACTCAACCAGAATATGGAAATGACTGAATGCAAAGTCGCAATCGAGCTTTGAGGTCTTCATGACTAGTATTTAGCCAGATTTAAATTCTATGATCCCCTGACTATGAAGCTTTGCTTATCATGCAATACATGAGATTAATTTCCAGACAGATCTTTAGGTGAGCCTGCATATGTGCTGCCTGTATTGCTGTTCTAGAAAGACTCGCAAGTACTATAATATGTTCACGCTCAAGAGGCAGATATTTCACTCTGATCTTGATCGAGAGTAAGAGGCAAAAGTAAAGGAGTTGGTGAGGATGATTTTTTTAATTTTTTTTTTAATGTTGATGATAGAAAAAATATGTATCTCTAATAATAACTTGATACGTGACGATATAATCATTACTAAAAAAAGAAAAAAATGTGAGATAGTAAATAGTAAGTTTAGAATACGCAAGCTAGCAAAATTTTCATATGAAGGTTGGCAAAATGTTTACATCTTTTGAGATGAGCAAGCTAGCAAGTTGTGTCTCTCTTTGCGATTGCAAGCTAGTGTGATTTGCTTCTTGAATTGTGCAAGCTAGCAAATTTTATCTCCCCCTTTATCATTGTCAAAAAGAAGGGAAGAATACAATTTTATAATTATTTTTTATTTACATCAATTTTCACATTATGATAAAGATAAATTTAAATCAAATGTGATAAGGTATACAATTTATGAATATAAGGGAGTATCATAAATAAATTATGACATAAAAGATATAATATCAAAGATTATTTGAATACCAAAAGATATGATTCATATAAAAATTTTTTTAGTAAGACGTAGTCAACATTTAGGCCACACATATATCAAACTAAAATAGTAATCCGAAAAATATTTCGGAACAATTTCACTTATACCATAAAATATTTTCTTGGTTAACTCGTTATAAAAAATTATCTTAGACATAATAATCAAAGTTAGTTATTATTTACTAAAATTATTTTATCTTTATCGATTCGTCAAGAAAATCATGTTTGGAACCATGTGATAAGCATTTGAATCCACACTATCAATTGATTCGGATTAATCCAGGCATCAACGATATCATCACTATCAATTGAGAAAGTTGTAGTTAATATCCTGCATTAACTTATAATGCAAAGTGAATCTACAAATATAAACAGTTGAAACTTGTCCTTGGCATGCACCATCTTCTTCCCACTTGAGGTCTCCCTTTCACTCAAGCAAAAGCCTAATTTTCATATAAAACAGTGTGTTAAAATTATTATACTTGATTTATTTTCCAATAGCATTTGCTTGACAAAAATGAATTAGTATTTTGGATGAGGAATTGAGCATGATCAGGACATACTGTGGTTAAAGAGATAGGAAGTAACACTATAGACAATATAGTAAAATACAGAATACAGAATACACTTTTTATGCTGTAATAATAGCTACTAAGTAATCAATCACTCATCAAATGGAATGCTGCATTCTGATCTTAGATATCATATCAAGAAGAACATGTCAGGCTCGTCCCATCAACGATTCATGGCGGCGGTGACCGTATTCTGGCGTCTCCGGAAACATCTGCTGAAGACGAAGCTGCTCGTAGAACCGCTTGATGAACTGCTCCGCCTCCTGGTCGATACGCCCGCCTGCTTCCTCCTCTTCCTCCTCCTTCAGTGGGAATGGTGAGTCGGTAATCCTTAATTGTCGCACCCCCGCCGGGCTACTTCCCAAGTCCCACACCATTGGGGCTGGTGATGGCGACGCCATGACCGGCTCAGCATCCCACGGCTCGGAGTACTCCAGTATCTCAAATGCCTTGGCCATCGCCGCCGCATCGTAGTCGTAGTCGTAGCGGCGGTGGCGGCTCCTTCGCTTGATGGCATGGAGGGAAGGGAAGGAAGGGGTGCCGCTGCAGCTGAACTGCACCTCCTTGGGGCTGTAGAAGGAGCGGTCAGGGTCCATGGACCGGCACGAGAACCCCGAGTACGTGACTGTGGCGCCAGAGTGGTGGTGCTGATGGTGGAAGGTCACGAGGTTAACGAGGGCTTTACTGGCGATCTTGCCGCGCTTGAGAAGGAGGTGTAGATCCATCATGAGCTTATGCATGAAGAAGCTCTTCCGGATCATGTAGAGCACCACCCTCACTATGCGCCACAGCCTCTTGGCTGAGCGTGAGGACTCCATTTGAACCATCTCAGGTACAAGTCTGTAGATATCTCCAGAGACTGAGATTTTAGAGAGAGAGAGAGATCTTAAGTTTACGAGAGAGAAGGAAAGGAGGGGGAGGGTATTTATGGCTAGAAAGTAAGGCATGAAGAAAGGATGATAAGAAATAGAAATAAGGATTTTGTTTTTCTGTAATAATTGGTGCAGAAATTTCCTATAAAGTTCTCAAGGAATGGGAAATGTAAGACTGAGGGCTTTAATGGCAGCTGATGTAGTTGTAAGAAACAAGATTAAGATTGTAGGAGGTTGTTTTAGCAAATCGAGAGCACTGTTAGGGGAGTGATTAGTGCAAGTTATAAGGGTTTGAGGACTTCATGGTGAGTTTAGGTTGGCAGGTATGACAAAGGGCAATCATTCCAGCCACGTGGCAGTGAGGTGGGCCCCGTCATAATTGCTGGCTTGTACACACCACAAGATCTCTGTCCAAGAACAAAACATGAGTGGCTTAAATTGATCCCAGTGCTTTACTGGTCTTCAGCTTTTAATGGGATTCACAGCAAGTCTTGCAGGGGGTATTAATGCAGATGCTGATTTCACATCTACCATGTGAAGTTTGCAGATAATATCATTGCTCTCTCTCTCTCTCTCTCTCTCTCTCTCTCTCTCTCTCTCTCTATATATATATATATATATATATATATATATATATATATATATATATATATATATATATATGTTGCTGCTCTGAAAAGTGGATACACAGATCCAGCCTGTTGGTAAGATGGAAAAGCACACCATAGGAAAAGCTTTAGCAAGATCATATGACACCAGATATAAAAATGAACTCATTTTCGAGTTCTATTGAGACATCAGATCATGGGACAGATTAAAAGCTCTGAAACTGTCTTATCCAGCATGTTCATAACTTTTAGAAAGTTTCACCTTATTAACAACAGAGATACAGCATGGAAGGTTCTGAACCAATGGCAGCATGACATTGCGGTTTGTAGAAGATACTAAGCATAATGCACAATAGAATTATAACGATCTCGGGAAAAAAAATGGCCATTATTTCAGATTGTTTAGAAAACAAAACCTTTCTAGGCAAGAATGCCTATGCCACCAATGACTCGACTGCACCTTCTCTCCAAAAATTTGAATAGGAGTGTATCTCAAAATACAGCAAAGCAGGCTATAACATCTTTCTAAATATGAATGGATGAATACAATGCTGTCATCATATAAAGACTAGTCGGCTGCAAGTCAAAAGCCGGAACCTTATTATAAGCTGTTTCAAATAAACTGATGCCGGTATCTGGTAATATTGGGACTCTACAATCCCACAGACTTTTGAATTTTCTGAATTTGATTCAAGAATATCCATGTCATCTGCAAAATATTCCATGGAGAACCAATTAGACAAAAGAATGAGGCTCCAGATTTTGGAGAAAATGCAATTAATTTTGCTGGATGAAGTCCTATCAATATGATATATATAATTTCTTTGAAAGATGAATTGGTAATTTACCATGACATGTGGGGCAATCCTCACACAGTAGATGGGAAACCCAGTGTAAAATTTGAAAGGACCACCGTTCTTCAAGGTCTTCATGGCACAGTCCAAAGATCCAGTGTAAGGATACTTCCCATTAGCATCTGGCTGCATCTTTTGTATTTGTGTTTTTACATAGTCAAATGGTAAACTGCAAGCAGATGCACACAACCCTGAAACAGCACTTGCCCCTGCAAACAAGATGATAAGAAATTCAAGAAAAAATCACTAGATTACAACCCTACAAAGAGACTACATGTTCATATTACAACGTGTCTCAAATTAAAAGAATATAACAAAATGGCATTTACACCTATTAGGAACAAACAAGTGAAGTTTTATCCCTTTAATCATCTCAGACGCACATTCATTCGATAGACTAAGACAAACAAACACTACTATTTCTTTTGTACATAAGCTAACAACAGCTGTATGATTCAAATCGTAGTCTGGTGTCTTTACCAGTTGGCATCTGGACTGGTATGACACCAGATAATTCCTAGTAAGGATGATCCAAAAGGCTGACCAGATGACAATAGGCTTCTTGTGCTTTCATTTGATAAATAAGTACCAAATCATTTTCCAGGCGCATGTGTCAAGCTTTATCTAGGAAGCTACACTTGTGCCCAAAGGACAGCCAGGATGTCAAATTAAACAAACCATAATCAACCATTCAGTACTAGCCCAAAGAATCTAATACCAGGAGGTATTATCACACATGTAATTACCATATAAAAATCAATTAAGTATTACTGGTTACTAGTGTCTTACCAAGTACAGTGCTAACTTCGCCAAAACCGAGTGAATCCCTGAAAAGCTCAACACTCTGATCATATGATGCAAGCATGCCCATGTTTAGTGACATTGCCCTCACCACAGTAGGACCTGCACCTTTCCATAGTGCCAGAACCCCCTCATCTGCAACAATGCGATAAAGTGCATGAAAAGCATTTTTGTAGTTTCGCCGCTGAGCTACAGGTAAAGTTGCATCAGCTTGCATCCGAATGAGTGCCAGATCAGCTGGACTGCCAACACATGCTCCAATTGCCCCAGCTGTCAGACCAATAGCAGCTTTCTGAAGTAAAGGTAGGGGCTTCCCGTCATTAGCCTCAACAGCTTTGTTGGTCAACACCCTAGACAAAACAAAAGGTCGCTGGTTTAACTGAACTGAGAAATCATCAAGATAGCATTCTAATAAATGAACAAAAAGTAGAGTAGCAACATTATCAATTGAAATTTTTTATTTTTTGTTAATCGGTCAAATAAAATGTGCGACAATGCTAACTGATTGTCAAAAATTCTTTTAGAATATAAGCAAGGATCTATCTACCTTTGGCCAAATTCACAATCTAAACCTTAGTTGTGTTACATAAACTTGATCAAACACATGACTCTATGCTTTTAATCCAACATATTTCATTTGCATGTGTTTGATCCAACAACCTACGGTAGTAGAGTTATTTGACTATAAATCTGCATATTTGATTTGCATGTGAAATCCAACCATCTAAACCTTTGCTTTTAATCAAACACATGACTCATCTAGTTACATAACAGGCTGAGGTTATCTGATTTGCCAGACCAAGACAAGAATTGAATGTTCTCAGGTAACATTCCTCTACAGTTTTTAAGATGGTGTTCAAATATTTTCTGAAATAAAGAGGTAGACATACCTAAAGGAACCAAGTCGTGCAGTTGTATAAGTAGCTTGCCTCAGTAAACCAGCTGATAGACCCTATGACAAAGCAACAAATCAGAAGAAGAGCAGATATCACAACTGAAAACAACAAAAGAACCAAAGAAGACTTCAGAAGAATCAAATAAAGTTACGAAAAACATACTTAGCATCTGCTGGAAACCCTATTAAGACAGTTGCATAGTGATGTGGACCAACTGTGATCGCTAAGGATAGATGATTCTAATGAATTTTATAAGCCTGCCTTTTTTAACCAACTCCATTCATCTTAGACAAAGGTGTGCCCAAGTCGGATAAAGTACTAATATGCAAGGATTGAAATATCGTACCATACCGGAGTTTCGACGTTCGCTCAGTACGATACGGTACTGTATACCGAGTGATATACCGTTCGGTATATATATATATTAATATATA